TTAAATCTATCCATTGTTGACATTTTTTGTTATTTTTTTACTTTGACTCATCATTATTTAAAATTCATTATTGATAAAAATGAAAAATATATTTTAAAAACCTTAAATCAAGTACTTTTTAAATATATATTTTATAAAATTTAATTGCTTGAAATATTTAAAATATCATGGTCAAAGTTTAAAATATTTGACTTTTTAAAAGTAAAAATGGACACAATTAGTGGGACGGAGGAAGTAATATATTTCATTTTAGTATTTTCTTCTCATTTATTCTTTTTTTATTTTTACATTTAGTATTTTTAACACCCTTTCTCGTATTCAAATCTCGAATACAAGTTAGAATGTCACAAATATTTAATAATAACTATTTATCCAGATATTAAGCGTCACCACATATTTTAATCTATGTTTAATCACCATTAAAAAATTAATCAATTTATCGCCTAAAATCACTTTCTAATGTTTCAACAACCAACAAAATTCGATTCAAGCAACAACTTAACAATTTATAACTATAACCTATAAAAATATAACAATAAAAACTACCAAAATTCAATCTTAACTGGTTTCTCCATTTTTATTCTATTGTAGACAAATGGGCTATTTGACAGATTAGCACACCATCCATAAATTATTAATCTTTTTAGGATTATTGAACTTGACAACAGCATATATTTTAATTGGTCCTCCAAATTTTAAATATTCTCGATCTTGCCTTAAAATATTAGTGCCATATCAAACCATTCATTTTTATTAGCCTGGACTAAATATCAATTTATGTTTAATGTAAAACATATTAAAAATATTTATATAACTTCTCAAGCATATTTGTATCTATATAACTAAATTTCAAGTGTATATTTATTATATATAAAAAAACACATATATTTAAAATTTAGGAAAAATTACTTTAGATACCACCAAACTTTAAACATTATTCATTTATCTTATCAAACTTTCAATTTTGTTCATTTAAACACTAATGTTACTTCCGAATGCAATTATGTCACATCGTTATTAATGACTTAATAGAATAACAACACAATAACTGTGCGTCATGACGGGATGCTATAGACGATTTCATTAAAACCATTTAAAACAAGTTGACCTTTTTTTCTCTTTCTTATTCGTATAAAACCCTAATTTGCAACCCTAAGTCACAAATTGAAATTCATTTTGCTTTCATCCAAGAGGTTCATGTGTTATGTTAGGGTATCGAAAGGACCCAAAAGGTACATCCAAGTGCTTGACAGAAAACGATTGGCTTTACACAGGAGATGTTGGTGTTATCCTATCCGCCCTGATGGATATTTGGAAATAAAATATCGTTCCAAGGATTTTAATTAGAGTTGGGGAGAATCCGAGCAATGTTGAAGTTGAGTCCATTTTGTACACTCACCGGCAATCAATGGAGCCATTAGGCTGTTCATGGATGATTACAAGATTTTTTTAACCGTAACATAATCATTAAAAAACGGTTAATTTTTTTTAAAAAAATAATACAACATGATCCTGTTAATGTTTCATAATTTATATTACAAAAAATGTAACACTTAACATATACTTACACAATTTAAGTGAATAATATATATATATAACATTTAATACATACTTAAACTAGTATAAGTATGTACATCTCTCAATATCTAGGTACTAACAATAAACAAATTATTTTATTGACGTAAGTATGCTTTTTGTATTTTTAAAGAAATAAAAAATAAAAAATAATAAAAATATATATTTAGTTATTTTTGAAAAATATTATATATATATATTAGAAATAATAAAAAGTTATATTTTTTTATAAAATTTCATGCAAATATTTTACTAATAGTTCAATACACCATCAAAGTTTTAAATATAAGTATTTAACAAATATAAAATAAACGGTTATAAATTTTAGGAACAACGCTAAAAGTATTAGGAATATGACTAAAATTTACTTCTATTTCTAATAGTATTTTCTCTAAAGAAAATATAATTATAAATTTAATTTATTAACAATTAACCATTTATCAAAATTCGTAGTAGTAACTTTAACCGTTAACCATCATTTTTAAAGATTCAGTTAATTAAAATAATTTAATATTAATAATTTAATTTATTAATCTATTAAATATAATGATTATACTAATTAATGGTTAAGTGGTAGCCAAGACAAATGAGTATTCGGGAGAGACTCCCTGCACTTTTGTGAGTTTGAAAGGTCAGTTAACTCGTAAACCGAGAGAGATTAAGACAATGGAGTATTGCAGGGCCAAGTTGCCACAACACATGGTGCCCAAAACGATTGCGTTTAAGGAAGAATTGCCCATGACGAAAGATTTAGAAGATTGTTCTGATAGCAATTTCAAAGGGAATGGGTTAAACTTTCTAGTGGTTAAACTTCAGTAAAATGAATTTCAATTTATGATTTAAGGTTGAAAATTAGGGAAATAAATTTATTATAAAAATAATATTAAATAAATGATATCATTTATAAATAATATTAAAAAATTATACTAATCTAAAATATTATTTAACACACACACACACATATATATATATATATATATTAATTGACTTAAATATACAAAAAGTGTACAAAGTATGTCGGTTTTTTCAATTTAGTGTCTAACCTTTTTTTCTTTTCAGTTTGGTGTCTAACGTTTCATTCCGTTACTCAAAATGGGTAACGGACCGTTACTTTTATCCATTAAGTAACACGTGTCACAATATGGTAATTTTAAAAATTTTATTAAAAATTTAAAAAAAAATTATATATTTTTTAGAAAAAGAAAACAAAAATTTTGAAATAACCCAAAACTTTGAGAACCTTCATTTCAACCCATTAACATTTAACCCCGTCATCGAACCACCCTTCTCCGACCGGTGGTGGTGTACACTGCCGCTCCCACCGAACTTAGCAGAAACCAATGACCTCAACCCGACCCTCAGATCACCTGAAATCGGTCACCGTCGAGCTTAATTATAAGGAAACCATTCGGTCGCCCACCTCCAACCTCGGCAACCGCTCATCGGGAGTCATCACCGTCTAGCCCAGTGGAAGCACCGTCCTGGACCGGTCATAGCCTAGTCATCTACTCGCCTCCAGTCGCCTCCATTCGTGGTGGAGTGGCATTTGAAAGTCCGATGAAAATCCCCCATCACTGTTCGATTTTTGCGATTTCCGGTCAAAACCGCCGCCTTTCTTCCTCACCGCCATCGAATTTGAGCTCGCTGGTCCTGTCCGACCCAAACCCAACCGGTTTGGTAAGCCACCATTGCCGAGCGGACGAGCTTAGAAGAGAGGTGGTTGAATGGTTTAGGGTTAAGGTTTGAAATGAAGGTTTTAAAGTTTTAGGGTTATTTCAGAAATTTTGTGTTTTCTTTTTTAAAAAACATATATTTTTATTTTTTAATTTGAAATAAAAATTTTAAAATTACCAGATTGTGACACGTGTCACTTAACGGAGAAAACTAACGGTTCGTTACGGCGTGACCCATTTTGAGTAACAAAATAAAACGTTAGGAACCAAATTGGAACGAAAAAAATATTAGGCACTAAACTAAAAAACGGACATACGTTTGACACCTTTTGTATATTTAAGCCATATTAATTTTATTAAGAATATAACAAGTTCTTAAGGTAGCGTGGAGGTTGGATGTTTAGCATTAGTTCTCAGTGGTCTATGGTTTAGATCTCACGGAAAATGATTTTTTCATAACAAAATGATATCGTTTTGGATTTTTTGAGTACTAAAATAATCGTGTCAAAATGATGTCGCTTTGTGAGGTAAACATGTCAACAATGTCACGGCATGCACCTACTATATCATCGTCTCTTTAAGTCATTAACAATAGAGTATTATAATTGTACTTAAAAGTAAACGTTAATATTAAAATTAATAAAATTAAAAGTTTGGGATATCAAAGTAGTTTTCCTTGAAATTTAATTAATGTGTCTAAATGTGTTCTACGTCACAACTAAGCTAATCCCCAAAGAGGGAAATTAAAACCAGAATGAGATATTTATGATTGTGGGTCCCAAGCCTAATCAGCAACTGCTCATATCCTGATCTAATCTAATCCACTTTCTCAACTAACAAACATCGTCCACTAGCCAACTGTTTTCACAATTTATGAAAGGCACACTCAACACGCGTTTCCATGGACCGTGTTTTTCACCCTTCTCTTTCACCTCATTTTATCGTGTGAACTACATTTTTTTCTATTATATAATAAAAATGTTACTCTATTAAATTTCTTATTATAGTCAATTAAATATGCATGATGTATTAATAATGAACATCACATTATTTTAATATTAATATAATTATAAGAATGTGTTTAGTAAAATTTTAATGGAAATATGACTAGTATCGATGATTCTACCATATATTTTATTTTAAAATTTAAATTATAAAAGGTTTCATTTTGTTAGTTTTACAATTTAAGAACTTAAATCATAATCTATTATAAGGGAAAAATGCGAATACATGTTTAAATGACAATATATTTTAAATAAAATAATCACTTATTGTGTTTGTTATATTGAATGGTTTTGATTTATGAATTAATCTTTTTATATTTAAAACAAATTAATAATAAATTATAGTTTTAAATATTGAAAGTATACTAATTAAGTTTGTGTACAATTATAAAATATATCATTTCAATCTCGATTGATATTACGTCTCGAATTAATTTTAAATAATTCTTTCTCTTTAAGAAAATACACATATAGTAAAATTATAATATTTCCTTTTTATTTGGTGAATAAATTTTTGCTTATGACTTTTAAAATTTGTCAAAATAATTTCGAAATTGGAATATAATAGAGCAGTGGCGCGTCAATTATTATTGGCGCTTGAGATAGAAAACGTTAATTCCAACCTGAAATATTTCATTCCAAAATTACCCTTAAAGGGAACCTCTAATTCTGCGTTTAAACTCCAAAAGCTATGCACTCTAGTGTAATTTTCTTAACACTATTTTTGCCGTTGCTTTCCTGCCTGCCACTGCCCTTCTCTTTGTATGATCCATAAAACCACGGCGGAAAAATCTTCATCTTAACTCGGAGTACAAAACCAACTCAATCAACCGAGTCGGCACGGTCAATTTACTCATTCGAATCAAAAGCTTTTCTGCGTTAGTATTATCCTAATATAAGATCGGAGATTTAAAGCGCGTTATTTCCGGGTACGTTACCAAGAAAAATTCGCAGATGTAGAAGGCAGTTTCTAATTATAGTTATTAATGACTCAATACTTTGTAATATCTCCATCATCTGTTTGATTAATTGCCTCACATGCCACGCTCCTGCCTGTATCCGACTCAGTTCGTTTCAAATTTACCCATATAAATTGCTTTTTCCCCCCGAATATTTGATTCAAAGGAAACATTTGCTTTCGGGTCCTTTGTTTTTCTTTTCTTTGCCCTCCTTTTATATTAATTTGTTCAACTTTTGTTAATTTCTCGTGGGATTCAAGGTGAAAGAGAAATGGAACGTGTACGTGAGACAAAGCTATGCACAACTGAATTGGAATCTGTTGAATTTGCAAATCAAAATGATTATTTGATGGAGATTGGATTAGGGAATTATGGGTAATCTCTCATTTTCTTTGCTTTTTCCCCCGATTAATCTAGTGGTTTTGCCTTGTTCATCAAGCTTTTGATTGATTGATTGTATTCTGATATATTTCTTGCTGTTCTTTTTTCAATTAATCGTGCATACGTTTAGGTGCTCGCATTATAGGAGAAGATGTAAGATTAGAGCACCTTGTTGCGGTGAGATTTTTTATTGCAGACATTGCCATAATGAAGCTAAGGTATGATCGGATGTGTTCCGTTCTTTTTATTTGCGAAAGTATTGATATTATGGTATGGTATTAGCTTTTAGCTAATTCTGGTTTATGTTTTCTGGAAAAATCTATAAATAGAATTCCATGGAATCTAATCCTCTTCATCGACATGACATTCCTCGCCATGAAGTCGAAAAGGTTTGTCTTCTTTTTCTAAATTGTTGGTGGTAGAAAGTCTATTTTCTGTTATTCACTGCAACAATTTGGATTCCATGTATAATACTGACTTGTTATACCTATAGATACTTGGAAGGGATAGCTGTAGAAAATTAACTAATGAGATAAATGTGGATCACTTTGATTTTGATAATTGACCCATAAATCCTCTGCCTTTTTCTTTCCCCTTTTATTTTCATGTCTGTTTGAGTGAAAAAGCAAGTGCATAACTACAAATATATAAAGAATGAAACAAAATTAATAACTAAAATGGAAGTTTCTTGTGTGAGTAATCTGTGGTTTTTAACTTTATGCGATAGTTATCTTTGCTTGGTGACTTATATTCTATCACCAATAATGTAATCTAAAATTGATTAAAAAGCTCATAATTATATTTCCTTTTGTTTGTCAATTTCAGGTCATCTGCTCCCTATGTGACACAGAACAAGATGTGAGTGATCCACAACCAAACATTGAGATTGAAACAGTGTACTTAATTTATTAAAATTCAAATCCGAATTGCAGTTATTATATTCGTTTCTTTTATCCTTTCAGGTTCAACAGCATTGCATCAATTGTGGAGTCTGTATGGGAAAGTACTTTTGTGCTAAATGCAAATTTTTCGACGATGATGTAAGTCCTTTTTTCCCATTCTTTGCTAGCTCATAATATGAATCTTGGCTTGGAAATCTGCAAACGATTGCTTATGTGATAAACTGTTGCGTTGTTCAGGTTTCCAAAAGCCAATACCACTGTGATGAATGTGGCATATGCAGGTAAATTTTCGAGTTTACTTTCAAACCCATAATCACTGCTGAAACCATATGCCAAATACTATATGTTTCGATGATTACTTTGCCATATCTCATAATCTCTGCTGTGTCTGTTTTGCAGAACTGGCGGTGAGGAGAACTTCTTTCACTGCAGCAAATGTGGTAATTGAAAGTATATAATGGTTTGCACAAAAGCAAAAGAAATGCAGTCTCCCTTTCTTTTCTTCTCTCTCCACCTAGCACTTATTCAGAGTTGCTGCCGCAGGATGTTGCTATTCAAAATTTATGAGGGAAGTACATTGTTGCATTGAGAGAGCAATGCACCACAATTGCCCTGTTTGCTTCGAGGTAAACAAAAAAGCATAATCACCACTTCCGTATCGTATAAAGCAAATGTGGGGAGGAAAAGTTGTTTCTAAGTGAGATGGCATCTTCCATATTTTGCAGTATCTTTTTGACACGATGAAAGATGTAACAGTTTTACCTTGCGGACACACGATGCATTTGGCATGCTTGAGAGAGATGGAGCAACATTATAGGTAAGCAAAGCCACTCCATTGATTTAATCAACGACTGTATTTCCTAATTTTATGGCATCCTATTTTCCTTGGCAATTTCTATAATCTATTTCCCGATAACCGCAGGTACTCTTGTCCGGTCTGCTCGAAGTCTATCTGCGATATGACAAAACTGTGGAGAAAGCTTGACAAGGAGGTACTTATAGAGCTTGTGGCATTATTATTCCTTCTCCAAGTGATGACTGCATGTGTTCATATATTTAACTCATTCCCTGGTTCCTGACCTTGTCATCTTACATTCCAATGTAGATTGTCTCAACCCCAATGCCTGCAATATACCAAAATAAGATGGTATGGATTCTATGCAATGATTGTGGAGCCACTTCAAATGTACAATTCCATATTGTGGCACATAAATGCCCGAATTGCGAGTCCTACAACACGAAACAGACACGTGGAGGCCCCGTTGCTGCTTCGTGCTCGACTGGAATGTCCGATATGGTGAGATGATCACAGTTTTAACAATGTTAGATTGAGACAGATAAATGATTTTTCCATTAAATTTCTTCTTAACTCCATTGTCTTTGTCTCCGTAAACATCATTGTCAATGCATTGTGATTATAAGTCTGAATACAGGCAGGACAGAAAGCTTGCATGTATTTGAATTCAAATGTTGTTGTTAAGTCCAGTTGTTAACTCTAGTTTCCTTTCATTCTTCCATGCGCTGTTGAATCTATGGTCCTTCAGGGTAGGATTTAAATATATAAACCAATACAAGTATATTTCTTTAAAATAATTATTTCCATATATTTGAAATTAAAAAAAAATCAATTAAATTGATTTAGACGTTGCATCCGATGGAATCAACCAATTTTACATTCAAACCCAACTCACAACATATAATAATATACATATATTTTTTTTATTAATCTAGAATGATTATAAGTAGTAGTATATGGTCTAAAAACTTTTAATTTACATTCAAATATCTTGCTGTCGTTGATGCTATTTTAACTAATATAAAAAGTATATATGTACCCAGGGATGGACCGTGGGCAGGTGGTGGCAGTCGCCCCCTGAAAATTTAAAATTACCATATATTTTAAAATTTGCTATGTATTTCCTATTGGAAATCTGTTTCGCCTCTTAGAATTTTAGTTCGCCCCTAGAATTTTAGTTCATCCCCTTAATTTTAAATTCACCTGCAACATAAAATTATGCGTCCATCCTTGTACGAACCTAATCGATAAAAATACAACTTTTAATTTGCATAAAACCACAAAATTTAAATGCTTGACCTTTGTTTTGAAGCCTAATACTAGGATGAGACTATTGATGTCTGTGGTCCCTATTTGTTTTTGAATTAAACCTAGAAAAGAAAGAGAACCCTAGGCCTCGACGAAGTTTGCAATTCATTTTAACAAAACATTCGTATCTTGTACAGCTTTCATTTCAAATGTTCATGCTTAAATAGAAATCATGTTATTTCAACCAACAAATATTATATATACAAATATCACTTAAAGATTTAAATAATATTGAAATTCTTTTTCGAGAGGATCTATTATTATTCTAAAAGATTTAAGCAATATTTAAGTTGATAAAAAAAGATTTTTATCTTAATCTTGATAGAAGAACGAAAATAGAGGTACGTTCACAAAAATCATTGCAAGCATACGAAGAGAAGCATAAGAAGAAACATGAGTTTACTGAGCAACTTCTCAAGCTACAACTCAAGGATATACATGAAAGCCAACACAATGATAGAAACCAACGTGGCCAAGACAGAGGTAGAGGCCATCGACGAGGTGGAAGTCAAGGTCGTGGACGAGGCTAGAATTACAACAACAATTCCAACAACAACTATGAGAAAGGAGAAAGCTCAACACGAGGCCGTGGAAGAATTAATTCGAACTCAAGATATGACAAATCTCAAGTTTGATGTTATAATTATCAGAAGTTTGGGCATTATGCTTCAGAATGTAGAGCTCCTAACAACAAAATTGAGGAGAAGGCTAACTACGTGGAGAAAAAGACAGATGGCAAAGAAACTCTTCTTCTAGCACGAAAGGAAATTGATGGTGGCCAAGCAAATTCATGGTATTTTGACAGTGGTGCAAGCAATCACATGTGTGGAAGGAAAGACATGTTCGTGGAGCTAGACGAGTCGGTAAGCGAAAATGTTTCATTTGGAGATGATTCCACAATAGCAGTGAAAGGAAGAGGTAACATCCTTATCCGTTTGAAAGATGGGAGAGATCAATTTAATTCAAATATCTACTATGTGCCCAATATGAAAAGTAACATCTTAAGGTTAGGGAAACTGGTAGAGAAAGGTTATGATATATGAATAATTATAATCTTTCTATAAAAGATGATAAGAATAACTTCATTGTTAAAGTGCCGATGTCAAAGAATAGAATGTTCTTGATCAACATACAAAATGGTGTTGCAAAGTTCCTGAAAGCTTGCTACAAAGATGCATCATGGCTTTGGTATCTTCGATTGTGGCATCTCAATTTTGGAGGTCTAGAGATGCTATCTAATAAGGAGATGGTGAAGGGACTACCTTGCATCAACAATCCTGATCAGCTTTATGAAGGGTGTATAGTCGGGAAACAATTCAGGAAAAGCTTTTCAAAGGAGTCAAAGACAAGAGCCAAAAAGCCACTTGAGCTTATCCATACTGATGTGTGTGGACCGATTAAGCCAAGCTCTCGCGGTAACAGTAACTATTTTCTTCTCTTCATTGATGATTTTTCAAGAAAAACCTGGGTATATTTCTTGAAACAGAAGTCAGAAGTTTTCAAGGTCTTCAAGAAGTTCAAAGCAACAGTGGAGAGAGAAAGCAACAGAAAGATCAAAGCCATGAGATATGACCGAGGTGGAGAATTTACTTCCAGGGAGTTTCAAGAGTTCTATGAAGCAAATGGAATTCGTCGACCAATGACAATTCCTAGATCCCCCAGCAAAATTGTGTGGCAGAAAGAAAGAACAGAACAATCCTCGACATGACATGAAGCATGCTCAAAAGCAAGAAACTACCCAAGGAATTTTGGGCGGAAGCAGTAGCGTGTGCAGTCTACTTGTCAAACTGATCTCCAACAAGAAGTGTATGGGGAAAGACACCGCAAGAGGCATAGAGTGGAAGAAATCCTGGAATTTTCAACTTGATAATATTTGGAAGTATAGCCCATGTTCACGTACCAGACGAGAGAAGAACGAAGCTTGATGATAAAAGAGAGTTTTATCTTCATCGGCTATGATGCAAATTCGAAAGGCTACAAGATGTACAATCCAGACAATAAAAAGATTGTGATTAGTCAAGATGTGGTCTTCAATGAAGAAAGAGAATGGGATTTTAACTCTCATACAAATGACTTCAATTTCTTTCATCAGTTTGAAGAAGATGAGCATACAATGAGGGAACAACTAGGTGAACCTCAACAAAGAGCTTAAAACTCCACCCATTTTACCAACATCAACCACTCAAGGAGACTCGTCACCTTCGTCATCATCAAGTGGGAGTCAAAGTGAAAGAGTTGTGCAACGTACAAGAAGCCTTAGAGATCTCTATGAGGTAATTGAACGACAAGATAATCTTGCATTATTTTGTTTGTTTACCTATTGTGAACCAGTGAGCTTTCAAGATGTAGTACAAGAAAAGAAATGGAGAGATGTGATGGACGAAGAAATCAATGCCATCGAGAAGAATGACACATGGGAACTTACCTCACTTCCTAAGGGGCATAAGGCGATAGGTGTATAAAACAAAGCAAAATGCCAAAGGAGAGATTGAAAGGCACAAGGCAAGGCTAGTTGCTAAAGGCTATAGTCAAAAGGCTGGAATTGACTACGATGAGGTATTTGCTCCTGTCGCTCGATTGGTGACTATCAGACTAATCATTTCTTTGGCAGCTCAAAACAAGTGGAAGATACAACAGATGGATGTAAAGTCTTCTTTTCTAAACGGAGTTCTTGAAGAGGATGTCTACATTCAGCAACCATCAGACTACAAAGTCAAAGGGCACGAAGACAAGGTGTTGAAGTTGAAGAAGACTCTTTACGGGCTAAAACAAGCACCAAGGGCATGGAATAGTCAAATCGACAAGTACTTCCAAGATAATGGCTTCAACAAATGTCCTTACGAGCACACTCTATATATCAAGATCAAAGATGGAGATATTTTGATCTTGTGTCTCTACGTGGATGATTTGATCTTCACTGGAAGCAACTCAAGCATGTTTAATGAATTAAAGGATGTGATGATGAAGGAATTCGAGATGAAAGACATGGGGCTCATGGCGTACTACCTTGGCATTGAAGTTAAGCAACAAAAGGATGGAATTTTCATTTCATAGGAAAGCTATGCAAAGGAGATCCTGAAGAAGTTCAAGATGGAGAACTGTAAGCTAATAAGCATACCGACAGAATACGAGATCAAGATTTCCAAATATGAAGAAGGCAAAAATCTAGATCCAACGTTCTTCAAAAGTTTGGTGGGAAGTCTACGCTATCTAACTTGCATGAGGCCCGATATTCTTCACGTAGTTGGATTGGTTAGTCGCTACACGGAATCTCCAACAACCACCCATTTTAAAGCCGCAAAGAGAAATCTTCACTATCTGAAAGGTACAATTGACTTTGGCTTGTTCTATTCAGTTTCTAATGATTACAAGCTTGTTGGATATAGCGACAATGATTGGGGTGGAGACATAGATAATCGAAGGAGCACTACTGGATTTGTATTTTTCATGGGAGATACTGCTTTCACATGGATGTCAAAGAAACAAACGATTGTCACATTGTCCACTTATAAAGCAGAATATGTTGCTGCTACCTCATGCGTTTGTCATGCAATTTGGCTTAGAAATCATTTGATGTAGATAGGTTTGTTACAAGAAGAGCCTACCAAAGTTTGTATGGACAACAAGTCAGCCATTTCCTTAGCAAAGAATCCAATATTCCATGATCGAAGTAAGCACATCGATATTCGCTACCGCTATATAAGGGAGTGTGTTGTAAGAAAGGATGTGGAAGTTGAATACGTGAAGTCACAAGATCAAGTTGCTGATATTTTTACCAAGGCATTAACAAGCGAAGACTTCATAAGATTAAGGAACTTACTAGGGGTCACAAGATCAAGTTTAAGGGGGGTGTTGAATCATAAACTTGATCCATTATGGGAGCCTAAAACTAAACCCAAACTAAATTGATGTCATTGCTTATATCAATTTAGTTAGGTGAAGAGTTAGGTGAAGAGTTATGTGAGAGTTAGGTATTTGTATATTTTAATGGTTTAAGTTATTTTATTTGTGTGGTGTAGTATTGTTCTTGAGTAGTATAAATACTCATCCCCATTTTAATTTAAGCATAAAAAAAATTTAAGAGCTTCTAAGTAAGTGAAGAAGCAAAGTCTTATAAGAGTGAGTTGTATTTATTGTTTTTGAGTGAGAGTGCTCTTGTAATATTTGTTTAAGTTTCAATAAAAGTTTTTTGAGTGAGTGTTTTATTTCCAACAGGCCATCATGACCTGGAGCTTTGAGGGGCGCCATACTAAATAAGGTATCATGAAATTCAGTCTGAGAATGGACACCAAGAAGAAGTCGTATGTCATCATCTGGGACCGACTGAAAGCAACCCAAAGGTGAGAAAGTACCCTGAACCTCCGTGTCAATGGTGAACAAATTTTGAAAGTAATTTTT